TTGATTGTCTTCGTAAAGATTGTCTCACATGTCTCTTGCTCTTATAGGACCTTTGTTGTTGGTTATACCCTGATGTTCTGGACCTTTGATTATATTGTTTGTATTGTTTCTGCTTGGATTCAGGCACCTGAATCCCTAATGTGCAAAGCATCGCCCTGGCATCTTTAAGGGTGCGGAGCGATGAATTCGTTGCCTCAACAAAGAGTTTCTCTCCAATGAATGGAAGGTCTTTGATGTTTGATTGTATCTCCTTGGGAAACCCGGACAGTTGCAGCCATGCCATTCTTCCCAGCATGACTGCATTCGCCATGGACCTGGCTGCTGTATCTGCAGCATCTAATGCTGCTTGCAATGCTGTGTGGGAGATCAGAGAGCCTTCAATCACATTCAAATTGTTTCTTTATATCATCTGGTAGATACTGAATAAAGGAATTGAAGTTTTTGAATGTCTGGTATAAATATTTTGCTAATAGAGCCACATAGTTCGCAATTCTGAGTTGTAGGGAGGCTGATGAATATGCCTTCTTCCCCATGGCATCCATCCTCTATCTTCTTGTCATGATTCTGCGTTCTAGGGTACTGCTGTTGCTTACCCCTCTGATTGGCAGCTTTGACAACCAACGAGTTTGGGGGAGGGTGCGAGAATAGGAATTCTACCCCCATAGGTGTTTAATAGTATTTCTTATTTATTTTCTTAGGAGTCGATAGTACCGATGCTGGGTGTTCCATATGGCCTTAGCTGGGTCCATTAAGTCCTCATTCATCAGTAGAGCCAATTTGGTGTGCTGAGGTAAGTTAAGTATGCTAGCAAGCTTGTGCTTGTACTGCGTCACACCTGGGGGTTGTATCTCCAGGGTGTCCGCTACCCTGCAGAACAGGTCTTGAAACTTTCTATAGTCGTCACCTCTGATTGGTGACGTGGGTGGACTGTGGTTGTCCATTGTGGAGCATGATGTATTAGGAGGGATAAGCGAATCTTGTGTCACTTCCTCCGTCGATGCCTCACTGTCAGGGTTGACCGGGCTGTAGTTAGCTCATTCCCACATGTTCGTGTTGGCTGACTGAGCCCTTGGTATCTGGAGGGATTGTTGTTGTTGTTGCTGCTGTTGGCTTCTGTAGGGTCCCCATGAGTCCCAATAGGGCCACTATGGTGGGAGCATTGGGGTACCCATTGTGCCATCTACCAATTCTGGGGTTGCTGTTGTTGTGTTGCAGTGTATTGAGGCATTCTGGCATGACCAATTATTTCTTCCTCGTCATCATTGCTGAATCTCGTGGATCTGAGCAATGCTGGTATGGATGACAAGATGGAACCTCTAGACGTTGGGGTAATGTTTGTACCGAATAGTGGTGAGCATAGTACTGACAGTACCATGAGATCCACCTCTGTCATGTACCTTGGTACTGTGGCAGGGGTGGCATCACTGTATAGCCTGCCCCTACTGGATGTATCTGTGTACTTGGTGCTCTTGGGTGCACCGGTACCAACAATAATGCTAGTCTGTCTGTGCATGGCATTCTGCGTCTCTGCAGCCTGCCTGCTTTTTTCTTTGTTGGTGGTACCGACTTCTCCTGCGGTACCGCTGGTTTGTTCTGAAGAGAGCCCGAAGCTTCGCCAGTGGTTCTATGCTTTGCGAACACTGGCTCTCTGAGCAGGATCCCATAACCCACTTTATGCTGCCTTGCTCAGGGCAAGCACTGTTTGCCTCCTTGCCTGGAGGTCTTTTATTGCTCTGTTGCAGAGTGTCAGTGGGGAACCTGGCACATTTTGTACTGTGCTCCTGGTCTGGCTATCTAGCACGTCCCTCCACGGCAGTGCGCCTTTTGCCCTCCATCCCAGCTGTAGTCACTCTGGGAGAGGATGACACAGGCTGTGGGTCAGCCATAGTCTTTTCCATACAAAGAAGTCTCCACTGTAGATCTCTTGCCCTTTTAGATCTAAAAGTGAGTTTTTGACAGTGAGGGCACTGGCTTATTGGGTGGTCCTGCCCGAGGCAGCGGAGACACGGTTTGTGCCCATCTGCTGCCGATATAAATGCGCTGCACTCTGTACACACCTCTTAAAGCCAGAAGGTGCTAACATGCCAGGGTTTTTTTCCCCTCTGAGGTGCCACGGGTGAGCGGGACGCGGCAGTGGCACTGGCGCCCTGCTTGTTCTTCATGTTATGTGCTTTTCCTCTGTTAATTTGTCAATCAAAGCGATTGTGCAATAGTGCAGCATGTGCCACCAGCCAGGGTCTGCTACTAAGGATCTCCAGGCCGTGTGCACAGCAGTGCTGACACACCTAAGTGGAGCACCCACGGGGACCCTCAAAGAAGCAGCCAGGCTGACACTCGTTATCTTGATGCATTTGAGATATCAGTCAGTAGGAAAATATGTGGAGGCTAGGGGAAAAACTTTATAAGCAGGAAGAAAGAAGGGCTATCAAGCAATTAAAAATTAACCATGATTAATTGCATGACTAATCATGCTGTTAAATAATAAAATATTGAAACGGCATTCTAACACTAAGGTGTAGCAATATTGAAACTTTAGTGGTGACAATGTTTAAGTATTGTTGCTACTCCTACTGTAATTGCACTTGCAGTAGCAACAGTGGGGAAACAAGAAAAAGTTGAGTGCAGTTTTAAACAAGAAGTTATTGTAGGGACATTGCATGCAATAGCTTATTGAATTAGTTGTCCTTTTCCTAGCACAGTCTGTAAAATACTTTTGAGAAATAAGGACAAAGGCAGTCAAGCAATATGTTTTTATTATGCTCTAAAAAGAAAATCCATGAAACAGACAAGATGTTCCTTGCCTAAGGCCATGTGTACTCAACAAATTTTAGAAGTTTTTAACTAGTTAGTTAAAACCTAGTTTGTGCTCAGACACTTCATGGCTAATACTAACAATGACAGCTCATAACTGTGCCCCTGAACCTTGTTTGAAAAGATTTTTTTTCACCAATTAGTTTTAATTCTCTGACTGTATAACCTGTAGTCCTTTCCTCCCAGCTTTCTGTGGAATGACATCCCAGAGTTGCCTCATATGTTGCACCTGATATTTCACATGCATGTCCTCTGGCCCTTAACTGTTGCTGAAGCACTAGGAGAGAGCCACCATGATTTTCTAATAGCATAGGATATAAAATATGGGAAGGCAAAGTAGTAGCTATGGACACAACACAACCATGTTTGTAACCAAATCAGATGACTGTCCCAAACTGTTTACAGGTACATGTGTTATTTTTGTAAAGTAGATGTTGAGAGTTTCACAAGACCCTAACAGTGGAATGATTTATGTTTTAGGGTGAAAACGTTGAAAAAACATCATTTGTTGAGACACCCCCAAACAGTCAAACCTTGGTGTCATATCAGTATTGCTTTGAGTTCAAACAATTCTGAAACTCAAAGCAAACCTGCAAGGTGTGTGAGAAGCAAAACCACCACAAGGTTTGCACAAGGTCCTGCTAACAAAGTCAGCTAGTGTCACATAGCTTGATTCTTAGCTCTTAAGCCATGGTTTTCTTAATTTGTACCTAGATGGTTCTCTGTTTGTGTAAACACAGCTAAGTTACTAAAGGTAAACTAGAGGACAAAGATAAAAACCTATATTAAATGAAGTCAAGCCAATATCAAGTTGTGAAGTTATACAACATGGAATCTGATACTCAAAATGAACCTAGTTTCCCTATGCAAAGCTGTTCTTCCTGCTATACTTCCCCATAGTGTAAGAAACTGCTAGTTGCAGAGATCTTACTGTTACAACATTTATTAGAGTTGCCAGTAGCATTTGTAATTAGTGATAGACTAAAGCAAGAGTCAGCAACGTACAGCACACGTGCCCTAATTGGCACACAAAATGATTTTCAGTGGTACATGCAGTGAACAGGCTTCTCCTGTCTCGTCTCCTCTCCCTCTCCCTCCCCCCCCCTCCCCGCAACAGGGAGCCTGTGTTGGCAATCCAGCATGATGCTCCCCTGCAAGATTGGAGCCAGTGCCAGCTTCTTGGGGTGGGGGAAACCCTGAAGCTCTACATCAGATTCAACCTGCAGGGAAGCACATGATGCTCCTCCCCTCCCCACAGCAACATCTGTTGGCATCATTACTTACACTGAATGATTTGTCATTTAATGATTTGTCACACTTTTTTTTTCTTTTAAAGCATTTTGTACAGGTTGAACCTCCCAAATCCCAGGCTCCCTGGTCCAGCAACATCCATGGATTTTGGTGGACCCAAGAGCACCAGGAGTAGGAGCCAACTGAGAGAACACGGAGTTTGTGGAGCCCCAATTGGGCCAGCAGTAGCTAGGCAGGGGAACCCCAGCATCTGCCAGAAATCCTCAGCAGCAGCGGGGCTGGGATGGCCAGGCAGTCCTTACCAGAAAACCCCCAGCATCAGCAGGGCCAGGCAGCAGCTTGGGAGTGCAAGCTGGGGAACCCCAGCAGTGGGGACCCTCTTTCCCAACCAGGAAACCCTCGCTGTCAGTGGGATCTGGGGGCTGGAGAACCCTGCCAGTGGGCCTGAGGAACCCTGGGAAACCATTGGCAGCAGTGGGGCCGGTGGTGGCCAGGTGGCCCAGGACTGGGAAACCCCAAGGAACCGCTGGAGGTAGTGTGGCTGGTGGTGATGAGGCAGCCCTGACTGGGGAACCTCGGGAAACCCCAGCACAGCTGGAGTGGAGCCTTGGCCAGGCCAGCTTTAGCTGGGCAGCGGCAGGGTGGAGAGCCCCAGGGGAACCTTGACCTTCCCTGGTCTGGCAAATTCCCTGGTCTGGAATGGCTCAGGTCCTGAGAGTGCTGGACCAGGGAGGTTCAACTTGTACTTAATTTCAACAGGAAGAGTTCAGAAACAACTGCTGACCAAGACAAACAAAAGGGAAACTGTATCTTTAATGGTCTGTTATCGTCACATTTTTAAGTGAATGGGATGATTTCCTTTTGTTGCCAAGACAGCAACCGTTACTGTGGCAACCACACAACAACAGGGATACTTAAACGAAACAGACTCCACTCACCTGCACAATGATGCCCTTGCTCTTGTACTCTGCATGGAGGCCTCGAGAGAAGAAATCCACAAACGCCTATAGAGAAGAGGGAGGACATACAGTATATATCAAAATGGAAACTAATATGTATGTAGTTTGTCGATATCTCTCAGGAGTTTTTAAATTACTTTTTACACATCTTAAACTTCTTAAAATAGACAAACTGAATTTAATAGCAGATTCATAGGTATGCTTGCCAAGTGCATTATTCAAGTGAGATGAAAGTTCAGAACAAAGATGAAACCAATTCAAAAGAGAAGATCCAAACCCCTTGGAACTATTGGAAGTCCAAATATTCCAAATTTAATTTTTGTGATTTAGACCTCTCACTAGAGACCAATGGGAAGCTGGTATATAACAAAGTCCAGAAAAGGACTTCTCACTAAATGCCTGATTTGCTTAGCCTATTGTAGAAAGGTAGTTATCTGCCACCTTACTTATACAGTTTAAAAAAAACTGGCAAAAAAACTGTTACCTACCTCTTGTAATTGTTGTCCTTTGAGATGTATTGCTCATGTCTAGTCCATTTAGGTGTGCGCATGGCACGTGCTCCTCCATGGCAGCGTGCGCACGCGTGCACACACACACACACCCCCCCTGGCCCTCCCCCCTCAGTTCCTTCTTGCTGGAACAGTCCAACAAAGGGGAGATAGGCAGGATTTGGAATACACATGAGCAACACATCTCATAGAACCCTTATGTGAGTTAGGTAACTTTTTTCTTCGAGTGATTGCTCATGTCTATTCCATGTAGGTGATTCCCAAGCTGCATGATCGGAGGATGGAGCTTATGTGGAAATTAACTGTAACACTGCTGTCAAAGGTGGCATCATCTTTAGCCTGGGAGATGGCACAATGAGAGGTCAACATATGAATGGAGGACCAGGTGGCTGTCCTACATATGTTCAGGATGGGCACCTGCGACAGGAAGGCAACTGAGGACACTTGGGCCTTGGTGGAATGAACAGTGAGGGCTGGGGCTGGAACTCTGAAAGGAAATAGCAGGCCCAAATGTAGAAGTCAGAGATTGTTGAGATGAAACCGGTAGCCCCTTCACCCTTTCTGCTATGGAGACAAAGAGCTGAGGAGACTTAATGAATGATTTTGTACGCTCTAAATAAAAAAAATCTAAAGCATGCCTCACATCCAAAGAGTGGAGTGCATGTTCTCTGGTGAATCCTAACTGACTGTGTCCAACTCTTGTTGTTTTAGATCAGATCAAGTAGGTTATCTAAAATGATCAGAGCTTGCAGCACGCAGATTCCCCTCTGTAAGGGCCGAAAGGATAAGCTCTTCAATTTGGATTGATAAGTGGCTCAGATAGGGGGTTTCCTACTCCCCAGTAGCACCTCTTGGACTGACTCAGAGCATTGGTGCGCAGCTCAGGTGAACCATGAAGCTTCCACCCCGTGAGGTGAAAGGACTCCAGATTATGACGACGCCATCAGTGCCCCAGGTCACAACTGCCTCCTTCACCCAAACTCCCTTCTTTACCCCAGGCTCCTGTTACCCAGGCAAGTGATTCAAAATGGAGTTTGCTGGCCATTATCACCTCAACAGTTTCTTCCTGCCAAAAAATCACATGGAGGGATGCTTTGCACTCCACCCTCTGGCTTCTGCACGCGGTTATAAACCTGTGCACCTCTCACTAATGCGATGCATGCACAGCTAGGTTATGCACTCAACACCTTTTTCCTATGCACACTGCCCTATTTTACTGCACCCCACTCACTAATTCAGTTTCCTGACTCAATGCTTTTATAAACCCTCTCCTGAGAGCAGCTCGGGTTGGTTCTCCTCGGTCTGTCTGTAGCTGCGTGTCATGTCTTCTTCGTCCATCACCCCTGAGGAGTTCCATCCGTACGTGGTCTGATCAAGGCTGCCCAAGTTCAGCACTAGCTGTGCCCTCCTGAGGTGAGAGAGAAGTCTTCCCTCTAAGGATTTTGGGACCAGTGGGACTTTACCATCTATTATTTGTTCACCTGTGAAACCTCACCAAGCCGAAGGACTGGCGCCAAGGAATCTGGAGTTCGTCAGCCACGTGGAGGCGAGGATCTACCTTGAGGGATCTCCCTGCTGTCCTCCCTCACGGCTTTAAATTAGCCACGAGGTTACAGGCGTCCATCGCCGCCTTCAATTTCTTGTTGTAAAGTATATGCCTTTTGTATACAGGATCTTTCTATCCTCCTTTTCTTCTGGGTGAGACAGTTACTGTTGTTCTGGCTGTTGATGCGTGTTGCTATTTTCCAAAATATATGGTTTGGCCCGAAATTCATGCCTGACCTGATTTGTGACTACCTTTCCAACAGTGATAGATATGCGTATCAGGTTAAATGTGGCTCCTGTAGGGGAGGCAGCATTAGGCTTTAATTAATTGTCCAGAGCAATTATTTACCTCAGTCTCCCAGGTAACACTCCTTACTGCACCGAACCTCCATCCCAGACCTCACACCTCCTCCATTAATATCATGGAAGAGTGCAGCCCTCACCACTTTCCAAATTCTTGGAGTGGCCCCCCATAAAAAATTATTTCCCATTGCTGTCGTAAGTGATGCTACTAGGAAAGGCACTTGCAGAATGCAAGGACCAAGGAGCTCCAATAACTGTCACAGGTGGTAAAAAGGAAGTGAGGCAGCAGAGGGTCAACAGGGGTATATATGCACCACTATAGAGGAGCTACTCCAGAGGAATCCACTGTCAACCCAACACGTCCTGCTAAAGGAAAACTCTTTAACAATCTTGTACATTGCGCACACACCCCTGGAATGGACATGAGCAATCACTAAAAGAACAATTAAAATTGTTGCTTGCTTTGCAAAACTGAAGTGTTTTGATTTTTTAAAATTTTGCTTTCACATAAATGCCACATATTACACTAGCATATTCACTATGAAAGTGGCATTTGTTCACTTTGAACGACACTACTATTCATTCTCCATCAGTTGGAAGTTTACAAGTTACAAGTGCAACATCCTTTGGAAAAAAGGTGATAAGAGGGAAATTGGCAGGGATTATATCAAGACACCATCTCAAAGATGAATACAGCAAATAGAGCCTGCTGTTTTCCCTCTTTTCATTACTCACTCCTAAGTGATGAATACAACACTTGTAATTTAACACTCTGCCGGTGCTGTAATAACCCAAGGCTACTCACCAACACCAACATTTTTTTTGGACCATAAGGTTTCCAAACCGTATTTCTCCTTTGTTTCTTTTTTAGCAAGGTGAGACAAAAGAGGTGTCAGATGAGCCATCATGACTTACAATAATAAAACTGCAGTTCCTTCACTGAGCTAATGCACTTTATTCATAAAGTTAACTTCAATTAAAAAAAAAAGGAACTCTACAGAAAAATGAACTAAAGAGAGCAGCAGCTGCATCAGAGCTGCGTCAATAGAGAGACAGTCAAGAAAAATATTACATGTTTTGCTATTTTCCTTCACTGACCACGTCACTATTACATTAATAAAATCCTAATTATAACCGGTGCTTTGTTAAATTCGTAGTCTCCATACTCATATCTATTAAATGGTCATTTCACTGAACCTCTCAGCCTGTACACAAAGACAAGAATCAATCCCCACACAATATTATCTCTATAGATATCTACCTGAGTATATGCAAGCGCTGAAAGAAAACCAGAATTTACTGCAAGACAGTTGGATCCATGGATTTTTCATTTTCAAATTATTTATAAATAAATAAATAAATAAATAAAAACTGAAGAAAAAAAAACTTGCAGACCATATAAAACCAGGCCCCTGTCAGTTATCAAAATATCTATAGTTGTTAGACATGAAGTTTTAAATCACTGCCATGTACCATGCAAGGGCACAGTACACCATGCATATGCAATAGCCTGTTGGGCATTTCTATCGTCCATTGCCAAATTTGCATATTTGGTGACCAGACACCAGAAGAGATGTGTAATTGTGCATCTACCCTAATTAAAATAAATAAAATCAGACTCATACGTTATTCCTCTGCAAACTGGCTAAGTGTGGTATTCTGTTAATCAAATGACTCCATTTGTTCACTTCAGGAAAGATCCGAAATTCTCTACTTGATTTGTTGTCCAACAATCCAATAGTGATTAATATAAGATGTAAAAAGGAACTTCCAGTATTTTTTACTGAAAGTTATATTGCAAACAACAGTATGTTCATTTTACATAGATTTAACAAAGCAGGAATTTAGCCACTTCTACTGTACAAATGAATTAAATATGTATTTTCAGTATATACATTGTTCAAGAAAGACATTTGTACAAGATTTTACTTTTGGTGTCACCCAGAAATCCTCAGAGATCTTTAAAATAATTGAAATAAGCCTGAAGTATAGAAACCATTGCTTTTTTCTTCCCTTTATCCCTGATTAATGAGATACAAGTAAGTGTAAGTAAACAACAAAAGTAATCCATGTGGGCAGTGCTCTCACATTTCCATTCTCTTGCCCAATCAACTGCAGTGAGTGCGGCATGGCACAACACTTATCCCTACGTCCTGCACAAACACAGTACAATGGAGAAAGTTTTTCTTTAAGAATATTTCATTTGTAACTGTTGACATTTCCACAGGCAAACTGAGTGAGTAAAACACTACTTTGTCTAGTTAGCGAAGGGCATCAACTTAGTCATTAAGGATGCCACAGATTAAATGTATCCTGCATGGGATGTGGGAGAGAAGAACCTAAGAAGTGCAGGCGGGGCCTTTCTACAGATTATAAACATCAGGAAAGTCATTTGCAAATTTGCTAATCTCAGCCACTGTGGCAGAAGAAAGCAGATCTTCCAAATTTAACAATGAAGAATTGAACAGCTACCCTGTAATTGTGTTTTTTGGAAGAAATCTTCCAGGAGTCCCATTCCTATATTTTAGTTTGCTAGCATATGACAAAGAAAAATCCCAAACTTTTAGCCAGCTAAAAAACCTGTGGGTCCCCTAGATGATTGAGCTATAAAAGGAGCAATCAAGGACGATAAAGCCATTGCGGAGAAACTAAATGATTTCTTTGCTTCAGTCTTCACGGCTGAGGACG